CTCTCTCTCTCTCTCTCTCTCTCTCTCTCTCTCATCTCCGCGCTTCGAAAATATATTTTTTATATTTATACTTTTACATTTAATAATCCAAGTCAACAGTAAGTATCGTCCTATCTTATCGAATGTTATTCATCGAATACACATTCGATTCATATGCAATAAGGAAATTGATGGATGCAGTAAAGAAAATGATTGTGCAATGTATGGACATGTGCCACTGAGGTGCCACGATACTTGTGTCGACTTGGGTCTTATTAAATGTAAAAGTAAATACGGCTTTGGCCCGTATTAATAAATAATTATTACTTGAAACTCGTCTCTAATAAAATACTCAGATTTGAATTCAGAGTTAGATGAGAATTTTATCAGTAGAATAAGTACATTGCAGATGTAAGATATGTTATAATTCAACTGAAAAATTTAGATGTAATTCTGAATAAAGATCTAAGTATCTCTCGTGAAACAAGTTTCGGGTGACTACTATTAATGCGAGTTTAAATGCGCTCTTTATTCATCGTGTTTCAGTGAAGAAGCCAAGATTCTAAACTGGCTCATTCTCGACGAACCGAAGGACCACTGTGCTCGCAATTTGAAAATTATCGTAACCGTGGGGACCTATGATTTTCCGACATATATAAATGAATCGCGCCAGTACGCTCAGGTGACTACAAACAGATATCTAATACCAACGTCGCATCATATCGGTCTACATTAATAACAGAATTATGATTTGACATTATAATTTCAGAAAATTAGTTCTTTTGTGGACAATGTCGAGTTTCTCTTTCTTCCGGAAACCGATCATTTCGAAATCGTGGAGAATCTATTGGATTCCAACAATGTTCTGGCCAAATTGCTAGTGAAGAGTCTTCGGTCGGACGCGAATACGGAATGAAGAGGAACCATCCGCTCCATTGAAGAGAAACCATTCGCTTCATACAACACGCATTAGCGTATATCCCACATTGCCTTTTGTTAATAAAATTTATTAATTACAATATTTATATATACATATATATATATATGCATATTATACGTACGTACAAAAATATACGTACATATATACACGTACATATATACGTATACACACGCGTATTCAGTACATTTACCTTAAAAAAAAAATTTTATTTTTCAGAATTAATCAGCTAAACTTTGCAGCCGCATAACAGTGATCTAGAAAGACAGCTCGTACATCGTATTCGTGTCATTTGGGTTTCGTCGCCGGTATCACACGCACTTGCGTCTTGGTCACTTTCGGGTCTGATGTTTTAACGACAAGTGTCTTCTTGGGAATAATTCTTAATATAGTTTCGTTCCGTTTGATAGATGCTTTGTTTGTCGTAGTAATGACGCTCGTGTTTTGCACCTGATTCGGTTGAACGATGGCAGTTTGAGTAGACGGCACTCGTATTATCGTGGGTGCCTGAATGTTTCGCGCGGGTGCAATAATCTCGCCGGTTCGCATGTCTACTTTTAGATAATTGTTCGTGATATTTTGCACGCTAATAATATTATTCCTCGGTAATACCAACCTCTGATGCTTCATCAGAGGCACTACTTTGCCATCGCGTTGTATCGCACACCGCGTGGTAACCGTGGACGATGTTATTGTTGTCGCTGATACTGGTTCGCTGACACTGGACTCGTCCGTTAGATCGATCAAATCTTTATTTTCGCTCGTTGTCTTTGGTACATTCTCCTGAGTGGTGTTATTCGCCTTTTGCCGGCCATCGTCCCAAGTTGTGGGAGGTTTAGCGAACGAGCGCACTCGCAACAGAGGTTTCTTAGCTTCGTCCGAAAGTTTGTCTTTGGGCGCATCCGTTAACTCGTTTACTTTGTCTTTCACTACCAGCTCTGTTACTTCTGTTATCACCTCTTCTACATCTCCCGTTATTACCTCCGTGACGTCTTCCGTTATCATATGTACCATATTCGTTAGCACCGTTGCTCGTTCCTTGGTTATCACCTCTGCTGGAGATTTTGTTACCACTTTATGTACATCCTCTATCACCACTTCAGCTACGTGCTCTACAACATACACGTAAAATACTAATAGTACATGATCTTAATTTTTGGTGGCAGATCTATCCCTTAGACTCCTATTTTTGTGAAAATTTAAGCTTTCACAAACCTTCAGTCCTGTTAGTGATATCAGCACAATTTGTCGTAGAAGTTGGTACTGAATTCGCCTGCGTTTTCGCGTCTATCCCAGTAACGTTCTTCGAGGTCATAACTGCATTGCTAATTGGCGATCTAGATACCTTCTCTGTATCAGTAACAATCTTACTCTCGTCCTTAGACGTTGATACGTGATTCTCTTTCGTAGTTTTTACTTCCACTTTCTTCTCTTCGCATTTCTCTTGCGGCAAGTTCCCCTCAACTTTACTCGAGGCAATTCCATTCGTATCTCGATTCACATTTACTGTCTTATTATTGTTTTTCTCTGCAGATGTGTTATTCTGATTTGTTTTATTTACGTCTTTCACACTGTCATTGTCTTCATTACTCGAAGTATATAATGATAAAATATCATTATTTTTGTCTTCATCTTCAATATCATCTTCGTCTTCATCCTTATCATCGTCATCCATATCACTCTCGTCTTCCGTAGTTGTTCCATTATAAACTTGCTCCTTTATTTCTTCTTGTTTTTTCACATATTTTTCGAATACAGCAGTTAATTTCTTTTGACCTTCATTACGATTGTAAGTTAGTTTGTTCGCTAACTCTTTATCTTTTATAGCTGGGTCTTCCTCTGTATTCTCCAGATATAAAGAAAAAGTATCCCAATAATCATTTCGTCTTGAGCGCTGTAGTAATTCTCCTAATTCAACGAAAGCCTTTTTTGCTACAATACACACAAATGTAAAAAATTTTGATATATGAATTATATATAAAATTGAGAACAAGGACTGAAACCAATATAAAAAATGCTATTTTCATAGAGATATTTTTCGGCATTGCATAACAAAAAAGAAGTGATTTAAACTATAAATACCATGATAAATACAATGATTTTAACCGATTTAAATTGTAAATATTGGTATTATTAAATGAAGATATATACTCTATACTAGAATAATATTACTAGCAAAATAATTCCAGTATTCAGTTTCTGATTGAGAAAAGAGAAAAATGTATATATAATTATTATAACTTAATATATATTTTCGCTATAAAAATTTAAAATAATCTCAAAACTATAGTTACAACTTACCCATTTCAATCTGTTTGTTTTTTGTCAAACCCAAGTTTCTTTTTTCATTACACCTTTTAACACATTCTAAAATATCCCTGTAATCAGGGAATATTATATTATTCGTAAAAGATCCTGGTGTCTTCCACTGATTCCGTTTAGAAATTTTAGAGTTGATAAAATTTGTTATTGCTTGGTCCACAGCAACAATTTGAGTTGTACTTATGTGTTTAGGACGTAAATATGACCGTCCAGCATCAGCATTTTCCCCGGTTAATTCACAATACTTGTTGTACAGTTCCACCATTCTTTGTTTGTATCTCTCCATTTTTATATAATTACTATCAGTATCCTCGTCAAAGTCAACTTCAGCAGTTTCGAATTTCTTTATTCTGTACTCACATTTCTTCATGGCCATTTCTATTATTTTAATCTTTCTCTTTGTCTCACTGTCCATGTGATCTACACCATCATTCTCATTATCTGATTCTGCTACATGATTAATTGATACTTTGTTTGCAGCATAAGAAGTAGATGGTACTGCATCATAGGTTACATTATCAATCGATTTTTTTTTCAATTTTTCTTTGATCATCCTCTTCATCTCATTCATAACTTCCTCTATGTATACATATAATTTTTTATCATTATTCATAATAGCCTCACGCTTTTCATTCAGGAATAAGGCAAACTTTTCTGAACCAGCATAATTTGGAACCAATTCTTCGTAACGCCTTTTCAACTTATCAACTATTTTTTCCATATCGTTATCATGACACTTTTTCAAGCATAAGCTTATAAACTGTGGAAAGATATCATGTGTTACATAAGATATCTTTTTTCGCTCTTTCACAAATAATTTTGGCACTTCAATTGTTGTTTCTTGCTCCTTGTTTGATTTCTGAGTACAATCAGGTATAGTACTGTCATCCTTGTCTAGTTCCAATGGAATTTGAGTTGTATTTAATTTTTTTCTTTTCTCTGAATTATGATATAATAAACTTTTCTTCTCTTCACTTATCTGTGATATTTTCCTCTTTAAATTATTTTCTTCCACTTTTTCACTGTTGTTAGGTGAAACCTCTACCTTTGTGCGTAAAGCATTGTTACTCACTTCTGTAGAATTACTGGAGGATGATTTCTTTTTGTTTTCCTATAAGATATACATGCATGTTAGTGAACATTTTTGTAAGTAAAATACTAATATTTGAGATGTTCTTTATCACTGAACTTAGTGTACACTTATGGGACTTAAAGAGAAACAGATGTATAGTTGAAATTTAGTGGAAGAAAAATATAAAAAATCTAGTGTAGTCTTTTCAGAAACAGAAAACCTATGATTCTGAGATAATTTAAGGCCTGTTCTTTTTCAAAGAACTTTCTAAAGTAGTATACACTGATTCAATAAGTACAGTGAAACAAGTATATTTTTTTTCACACTAATTTACCCAACCAATGTACACCAATCCAGTAAATTCTTCTAAAAAGAACAGACCTATTATTATCAATAGTTCAGCTCTCTTTTCAAGTTGGGCACAGCAGAACTTTTATTGTACAAAACTCTATTTGATGAAACTAATATGGACATCTACTCACCTTCTGTGAATCTGACTCATCGGAAGAAATATAAATAATCTCAGTTTCCATTATTTAGCTCATATGTGACTTCGCGCGTTATTATGAGCCACCTTCACGCGCGTAACCTAAATGTCACTCCAACGACTTTCTGTCAAACCAAAACATATTGATGGTTATGCACAGTTCTTACTGATCACGACACTGACATATTTCCATTCACGACTCGCGCAGTGATAACATGATGCGATGCGCCTCGATATATCTTCGCTCAGAGGAAAGATATCAAACGACTCTACCACAATGCAGTGCAGTTCGCTGCTACAAAAATATGATACATGCGGATACACACCTTCACCCTTGGAGATAGTAACTTTAAGGAAATCCAAGCGACGAGATATTTTGTTTATGGAAAGGAAGGAGATAGAGAGGTCTCACCACTCGTCTCAATTATATCTTCGCTAATGATTCGCCAGAGAAGTATCGATACGAATAATAACAAAGACGAATAATAACAAATATTTCGATCACAAGTAAATGTCAAGTAAACGTAATGGTTTTCACTGGTCAAGCAGTACGTAGTCCTTGTGACGATAAGCTGAAAAATGTTAGAGAAATATTACGGTACACTTCACTTGACATGTACAGATCGAAATGTCCCCAACCTGTGAAGAAAATTATTGGTTAGACATTAGGGAAATTTTGTTCTGCAAACTGACATTTTATCACACTTCTATAAATTACTAGACTGCTAACTCCCTAGTTATAGATGAGGCAAAAAGTGACGACCATTTTTGTTAGGCAGAATTCCCACTTAGCGCGTCACGTGTCGCGTCGTCCGAGTTAAGCCAATCAAATCGTCCCATTTTGTTCGGTGTAAAGTTACGCAATAAAATAGGACGATTTGATTGGCTTAACTCGGATGACGCGTGCGTGACGCGTTAAGTGGAAACGCACCCTTAAGCTGTTCCCACTGAGCGCGTCACGCGTCGCGTCGTCTGCCTGCGTCACGAGTTAACAAATCAAATCCTCTAATTGGAATGACGCGCGTACAATGCACTTGTTCCAATGGAACGATTTGATTGGTTAACTCGTGACCCAGGCAGACGACGCAACGCGTAACGCGGTCAGTGGGGATTCAACCTAAGGCATCCCGGGTGTGTTCAGAAATCCTACTCGATGAATAGAGTAACATTTAATTAGCCAATCAGGGCAAAAAGAACAAAGATTTATTTATCATGATTAGTTTATTAAAGTAACTCTATCCATCGAGTTGGATTTCTGAACATATATTCACCCCATATATTCACCACAGATGTTTATACTAAACTAGAGCTGCGTTCCAAAACTCTACTCGACGTGTAGAGTAGCATTCAATTGACCAATAAAAGCAAAGATAACTAGTATTTCTTTATTATGATTGGACAATTAAATGTATCCGTTGAGTAGAGTTTTGGAACGCAGCCTAGATTGCTTACAGACTATCTAAAAGCATGTAAGGGCCTTTGCACGTAAAAAAAACTGACCAATCACAGTCGATTATTCCTTGAACGCAAGGAGAATAAACAACTCTGATTGGTCAGTTTTCTTACGACCTTATGCTCCTGCACACAGGAGTGATGCTTGCCGCGCGACAGCCAATCAATATGTTGTTTTTCCGTAAGAACTAGAAGGTTATTACGGAAAGCAGCATATTGATTGGTTGTCGCGCGAACTTTCGCCGCACGGCAAGCATTACGGGTGTATATCAGTTGGACACGGGGCAATTGGACACAGTCCAATCACAAGCCGCTGTTCCAAGGGACCTACAAATGTCTCTAATCACACGGTGCTGTGATTGGCTGTGTCCAAATGCACCGTGTCCAAGTGCACCGCTCCCAAGCATTACCACGTCCTGTGTGCAAGAGCCGTAAGAATGTGAATTCGTAAATTAGTGAATTCGTAGATGCGCCCCATTTTCAAACTCCCAACTCATATTTCTTCGGAAGAGATAAAGAGACACATATTATATCGTTTATATTTTTTTACACTCTTAAAGATTGTATGAATGCACTCCAGTATAAACATAAACCAGACTAGTTTGGTTTAAATTGAAATCTAATTAGACTTATTAATACATTTGTTGTACAAAAAATATAAGACATAACAAATATTAGTTTCTCCTTAATATTTTGAAATATTATTTAAAAGATATTAGAGGAAAAGGTGATATTATGACTCCCTATTTATATTTTGTAGAATAACCAACCAACACTTTCGACAATGTTCGTCGCACGACGTACGTAATATCAGCCTTATGGCTCCTGCACACAGGACGCGGTAATGCTTACCGCGCGGCGGAATTTCGCGCGACAGCCAATCGATATGCTGCTTTCCGTAATAACTTTCTAGCTCTTACGGAAAAACTATATATTGACTGCGTTCAGGAGAGAGAGCTGCTTTGCACTATTATAAAATTCGTGAACCTGATTGGTACATGCTCTTGGATTTAACCAAAATTAAGAGCATACTCCAATCAGATTCACGAATTTTACAACAATTGCAAAGCAGCTTTCTCTGCTGAACGCAGCCATTGATTGGCTGTCGCGCGGACTTGCATTGCCGCGTCCTGTATGCAGGAGCCATTAGGGTGCAAACCTGTTACAGTGAAATAGAGGAGCGCGGAACGAGAGCGGAACCAATCACGAGCGTTCCACAGTTTTCGCTCGTGATTGTTTCATGATTGATTTCGCTCTCGTTCTGCGCTCCGCTATTCCGCTGCATGGGTTTGCATCCTTAAGGTGCCGTTACATGGGAGCATCGAGCGTCGAGCGTTAAAGCGATAATCAATCAACGTGCCACTTTCCGCAAGAACTACAAGTATACTTCTGCAACTTGATACGTTGATTGGCTAACGCTTTAACGCTCGACGCTGGAACGCTCCCATATATTGGCACCTTTACCGTGTTCTGTGGGTAGGTACCATAATGGCTCCTGCACACAGGACACGGTAATGCTTGTCGCGCGACACCCAATCAATATGTTGTTTTTCCGTAAGAGCTAGAAGGTTATTACGGAAAGCAGCATATTGATTGACTGTCGTGCGAACTTCCGCCGCGCGGCAAGCATTACCGCGTCCTGTGTGCAGGAGCCATAAGTCTAATACTTTTATTTCTATGTCGCTATTATATATAATTGCGCTACCTCCACCAGGGCGTGGGAGTTGGCCTACGGCCGCGGGAGCGGTGCACTTGGACACGGTGCATTTGGACACAGCCAATC